CCGTAACACGATGAGGGGCTCTCATGTCGGTTAGAGGTCACAGTGCCTAACAGGGGTTCTGTGGCGACGAGTGGCCCCGAGTCGGAGAGGTAGTTGAGGGGATCGGAAGAAGAGCCGAATGATCTCTCGAAACGAAAGATCAAGGGTTCAATGTGATAGCTGAAGGGCCCGATGGGCTGGCTTTATGTCACATTAAGGATACCCACCCATAGGGCAGTGATCTGAAATGTCATTAGGATGATGTCTTGCACCGGCAGGGATCCCTAAGACAGAACTTCCTCTATTTCTGTCACAGATCGCGAGCAACGAACAGTCGGCTTCGTGTTAGCCTGAGCTTTGGGGTCCATTTTCCAAGCAGGAACGAGGTCGGGCCCGCGATTTTCACTGGTCGGGCTCCCGTGTCGTTCAGGGGCCCGCAGTGCCTAACGGGGCATTCCGCATCAACAAGGGGCCACGAATCGATCAGTGGAAGATTTGCTCCACAGAGACGGAGACGGAAGCCCGAATGGCATAGGGTCGCTTGCGTTGGTCATTGCATGAAGTCATCACCGGCCATTGCATGAAGGGTGCGTGCCATCGGTGTGGAAGAGAGCAACAATCACCCCTGTGCCAAAGACAACATCGTCCAACTTGCCAGGAGATCTTCAACCGCTAAGCCTTACACCGACTTTTACCAAGGTCTTGGAAAAAAGATTAGTGTTCCGCAAATTCTGGCGGATATAAAACCGTGCATAGATAAATGCCAATACGGAAATATGAAAGGTGCCTCAACGTCACACTATTTAATTAGGTTGTTGCATGGTATGCTGACGGAGTTAGACGAAACAGACAACTTATTTTCTATGGTTATGTACGATTTTAAGAAGGGATTTGACCTCGTTGATCACACAACAGTTATCCAGAACATGCTTGCAGTGGGACTTCGCTCCGTGCATGCAAAGTGGCTGTGTTCAATCTTGCAGGACCAACAGCAGCGGGTCAAGATGCCAGATGGAACCATGAGTCGTTGGAGAACCATAACATGCGGTACTCCACAACGCACCGGTTGCTTTCCCGGCTACGATTAACGGTGCCGCTGGTGATATTGACAACCGACTGAATTATGTAGATGACCTTACCATATACCAGGCGTGTCGAACTGACCAAGTAGATCGGCACTGCCAGTTGCAAGAGCACACTGACAAGATAAGTAATTGGGCAACAGAAAACAAGATGATGTTGAACAATGACAAGTGTCAAGTCATGCATTTTTTCACAGCCAAAAAAAACAAACATTGGCACTACCCGACACCATGATTCAAGGAAAAAGCCTGCCAACTGTCATCAAAACTAAGCTTTTAGGTGTAACAATATCAAATGGCATGTCATGGCAAGCATATGTGGATGAGATTGTAACCAAAGCATCGAAAGCTCTATACATGCTCTACATAATGAAGAAGTACCATCCACCACAGGAACAGCTTGTTTGTGTGTGTGTTACTTACATCCGGCCATTGCTAGAATATTGTGTACCGGTTTTCATGCGGGACTCACTGCCAAGTAGGCGCAACACCTTGAGAAAGTGCGGAAGAGAGCCTTGAAAATCATCTTCGGCCATTCGGAAAAGTACTCGCACATCTTGCAACGCTTGAACATGGAAGCCCTTGCTGACAGGAGAGAAAGTTATGCCCAAGGCTAGGAAAACAAATGCAAGCGTCTCCCATGCATAGAGATATGCTTCCCAAGCAGCGAGTGGCGATCTCCGGCAGAAATACCAGGAACGCAAGCACACTCGAAACCTTTTGCTGTGGTACGCGACTACGCAAATCAAGTCTTCCCCATATAACCACTTTTATAAACACAAATATATGGTCAACTAAGTAGCATCCTGTTTCGTGTTTTTATTGTGCACATGTCCTCTATGAGTTGATAATTAAGTCATGCTTTTCTCAATAAACCGTCTCTCTCTCTCTCTCTCTCTCTCTCTCTCTCTCTCATCGTTCTCTCTCTCTTTCTCTCTCTCTCTCTCTTCTCTTCTCTCTCTCTCTCTCTCTCTCCTCTCTCTCTCTCTCTTCTCTCCTCTCTCTCTCTCTCTCTATCCTCTCTCTCTCTTCTGCTCTCTCTCTCTCTCTCTCTCTCTCTCTCTCCTCTCTCTCTCTCTTCTCTCTCCCTCCCTCTCTCTCTTCTCTCTCTCCCTCTCTCTCTCTCTCTCTCTCTCTCTCTCTTCTCTCTCTCTCTCTCTCTCTCTCTCTCTCTCTCTCTCTCTCTCTCTCTCTCTCCCTTGGTCGGGACTATCTGACAGTTTAAGGAGACATCAGAACTTATGATGTTTTCTCACATTGAGGCAACAGACAACTCCTGTGCCAGTCAGGGCCCCCAGACCCAAAAAGTGGGCCTAACAACCTTGTTCCGGTATTGGCCCCGTGAGGCCCAGCTGGAGTCTACGTGCCAATTATTTGACCACCTGCGGCGAGCAGGGATGTTGTTGGCTTAATGGCAGTTCATGCATCGATCCAGGGTCAACTACGCGGGTCAGAAGGCCTTCCACGTCTGCAAGCAGACCAACGTGATGCGATGCATCCCTTTAAGGTCCTATGGATCGGCCAAGCGATGCCGCTCCACGCCGCCAGACTGACGGTCGGAAACCCACCGCAGTGTGGCAGCATGGCCCTTCAGCCCTTGGCCGGGAACAACAATGTGTTACGCGGTGTTATACTCAGGAGTACAGCACTGCTGTACAACACTTAAAAATATGGGTTCTCATAAGGGCAGTATGGAGTGAGTGGAAATAGCTTCAAAACGCACAAGGCCATCCCATG